AGAAGAAGTAAGTTTTTTAACGCAGTTTTTCCGCTGCGAACTAAATATTTGGGGCTCATTGTTGTGTGGTTGAGCCGAATTGCACTTTCAGACACGTAACGCGTTTTGTTCCTGCATTGTTTCGACTTGTTTTGTCAATGTCAGAGCGGGCAAACACGTTACTGTTCGGTATAAGGCCGAGCACGAAAACATACTGAAAGAATTTGTCAAGAAGAACGATGTGCGGATTGAACTGCCAGCGTTTAATGATAGGCAAGTTCTTTTCTATTCTGGCGATCGCTTTTTCACCGTAACTGTGGGACTAGTTGGAAATTTCAAAAGTATCACAATCATGTCTCAGTGACGGGCGAGCGTGGCCTAGGAATAATAAGTTTTTTAAAAATTAGTTTCGGACATTAATACTGAGAATATTAAGACGTCCGGACAGTCTTTGCTGGGATGGCATGTTAATGATGGCGCCGGGATGCTCTGGGCCAGTGCAGCTTTGCCAGGCCTTCTGATCTGGGCTGCACATCTCCAGCTTTACCTGCCACAATAAAAATATGTTATTTTGTCGTTTATAACTGATGTTATGTGATGCGAGTGCAAGTAAAAAGTTTAATCATTAACTGGCATTTTTAAATTTTTCCAGTACGCTGAATACGTTCGCTCTTATGCTTGCTGTATGGGTAATAACAAGTTCGAAACTCGATGATCGCCATTCGTATTGGAAAGATTTCGTGGAGGCGAAAACAATTTGTGAAAAATTAACGGAAGACGATAGTACCGACAGTCTTTCTGTAATATATTTGCATTTTGCAAATGAAATGAGAAACTTATTTTTTTAAAAGGAAACTCTTAGGTGTGGTTTTTTGCTGGAAGATAATTTATGTCATCTAACCGAAATGTGCAATGTTTCTTTCATTTAAGTTGTATTTCTATTTCTTTTCTCATTTCAAGGGTGTGCGCTATCAGGATTTTATCTGAAAGTTATCGTTTTTATGCGTTTTGTGCTGCGTAACAGCAGTACAAAATTTATATTGTTACGGGGTTGTCTGTGTGTATGTGTGTGTGTCCGTAGCAAATTGTCCGCAACTTTCTAATCGGAAACCACAGAAGCTACGAAGCTGAGAATTTAGGGGAATGTTCCCCACCCATGTGTGAACTCGCAAATTCAAATTCAGCCTTCCCCTTCTCGTTTGTAACAAGTATGGCTCCGTAAAAGTTTTGGTGGGTAAAGTTATTATCACGGGAGCGACGGAAGCTAAAATGCTGAAATTTCTACAAAGCTGAAATTTTAGGGTGATGATCCCCTGCCTACGCACAACCTTACAAATTCAAATTCAGCATTCCCGCGCTCCCAGTTATCATCTACGGCCCCGTAAAAATTTCGGCGGGTAAATTATTATCTCGGGAACAACGGAATCTAAGAAGCTGAAATTTTAGCGTGGCGTTCCCTGACCACGTGCAACTCCCTAAATTCTCAACATCTTCGTGGAATTTTTGGCGAGATAATTCATCTCGGGAGCTAGAAGTGCTAGGAGACTGGAAATTTCAAAAAAATATTTCCTGCCTAGCAGGGACTTCACAGACTCGAATTCATTTCCTGAGCCTGTCGAAGTCTCACATACGATCACATGAAAGTTTTGTTTCTATGATCATTCGGAAGCCAGGAAATAAGGAGATTGAGATTTTGGAAGGATATTCACCCTTCGAGGTCTCAAATTCAGCTTTCATGTGCCAGTCCGTCAAATTTTTAACTATTTTCCGGTTTTTCAACCATTTTTGCCCAGAATAAAGTACAAAGTAGTGAAAACCATTAAAAGGCAATCATTCGGTGTAAGGAATTGCACAAAACCCATGTTCGCACCAGCTATTCTGGTGCGTGCTGTTGTTTATTAAATAAATGAATTGGAGGAATGGTGGAGTAGATAGCATGGAAAGAAGAACTTAACGAAGCGTAAAATTTGGAAAAAAATGTTTTTGCCCAAATGTTTTGTCCACTGCTTACAACTTTAATCCGGTTTTTTAAAGAACAGTAATCTTGGAGTTTGTTTGGCAAAATGCCAAAGTAGGGTGCTGAGTGGTGTAATAAATACACTCTCCACCTTAATGATATTTTTGTGGCGCATTGTTATTTTTCAGCATTCACTCCGTTGACTGCTTTTTACAGTTTGTTAATTTGCGTCTTGCTGATGGCGCTGTTTTAATATATACGCACTTTACAGATCTTGAATGATTTGCTGCTGTCGTTGCTGAGCCGGACAGATCGATTTCATCGCTCAGTGGTGCATTTTGTGTTTGCTTCATTCATCCCTCGGATGAAGCTTAAAAATATTTTACATATTTTTGAGGTAGGAGCTTTTTTTGCATGTTCTAATCCAAAGAAACACTCAAAAGAAACCTCTTTTACTGTCTTTTTCAGACTATCAACCTCAGTGATGAAGATATCATGCACGAGAAAGAAAACAGCTCAAGTGATGACGAAGACGGCGGTGAAAGTAGCGAAGCCGAGCAGCCGGAACAGAACATTTCGAACAAAGGTTTCTTCTTGTTTTATCATGGTTCTAATAACAGTGCAGTTGATTGGTAGCAAACGATGACAGGTTTTTGCAGAAAATGATGATAGTGACATTCTCGAACAGCATGAGGAAACTGATGGGTCCGAGTTTGACGAGGATGAAGAAG